TCCCGCTCCCCTGGGCAGGGCCGTGGGCGCCCGCGTCCCGCCGCGTGGCATCGCCGTTGGTGCGGCGCAGCTTGTGGGCTAGAGCCGGTTTGCGATCGGAAAGTGGAATAAAAGCCGTGTAGCGAGGTATTTATCTTTTCCTCTGGGAGGTAAATAACTGGGAGATAAGCTCAGTTGTTTTCTTGTCATTTTGAGTTAGCGTTAGGAATTCTCCGTGAATCTACAGAAAGAAGCACGGTAAAAGTTTAGGTCAGGTTCCTTGAAGTCTTCAAAGCACGCTGAGCAATATTTGTGTGCCCTTTGAAGTACACAGAGGACTTCCTTTTTCGTAGCATGTGCACCGTCGGGTGCCCGAGCAGCTCTGGAGAAATAACGTGCACGGCATGTATATAGTGTCTGCGCCACGGTGCTGCTCTTCAAAATCTCCGGTAAGAAGTAGGTTATTGGTTTACCTTCTCCTAAGGTGATCTGAAAAAGCTCTTGAATTAAGAAATAACGTGAAAGAAAGAGAAGAGGAAATGAAAACTGGGTAGTTGAGGAATAATACAATCTTCGTAATAGTGGTAATTTGATAATTAATGGCTTTGAAAATGAGTTGTTTTGTCTGTGGGTTGTAATTCAAAGAGCAAAGTGTGGTTGTTACAGATGCGGCGTTCTCAGCAAAGCAGTCATTCCGAATGGGATAAAAAGGAAAGTCCAGATGACACAAGATGCAGCAGTGCTAAGAGAAAGAGGAGATCATTAGGTGCACAGGAGAACAAGCACTGCAAAGATGGTCTTCCTCAACTTCCTGGCAGGTAAATACATTTTTGACTTCTGATATCAGCAAGTGTACGTATGCTTCAAGATTTTATTATTCTTATCAGGCCATCTGATGATATATTAATTTTTGAGTTGGAGATACTTGAAGAGAGATGTCTTACAGCTTAAAATAAAAAGCTGCCTTGATCAGGGTACTAGAGTCATTTTAATAATTTTAATTATTTTATCCTTTGTTTGTAGTACCCTTTCAGAAACCAAATATGTAAATGAAAGAGAACATCAGGAGCGGCGCTATGTTGAAGAATACAGAAATGTGTACAATCAAGGATGTGACACTGGGCATCACAGCAGCAAATCATCAGGTCATAGTGGGGCGAGTGGTTACAAACGGAAATACATGGCACATCACGCTACCCCTCATCCTCAGCATTCACAGGTGGTGTGACAAATTTTAATTTAGGATTTTTTTATTTGAAGAAGATGGGTTTTCATCTGGGCAGCAGTAATTGAGTGTGGGGGTTTGGGGAATTTAATCGATAATAGTTTATTGCTTTTAGCTAGTAGTATTAGTAGACTAATCCTTTTTGCTAGGATTTTATTTCCTTCAGTGAAAATGTATAGTTTGTAGGTATGCTTGTGATACCACAGAACATAGTCTTGCCATTTGGTCATTAGATATATTAGATTGATGAATAATAGCCATCAATTGGCGTACTTGAAATACAGGCGTCGCTTTCATGCCTTCAAAATTTTTATGACAAGAATTTGTTTCAGCCCTACTCGAAAATCCAAGCACAAGCTTTTAAACTTGCTTTTGACTAAGTATCACTGAAATAGCAAGGAGATAATGTTAGATTGTTGCTTTTTTAAAAAATGTGTTTAGTAAGATGTTTTAAGCATCGCTGAAAAATCTGTAGAATCAGATACGTATGATGGCTGCCCAGTAGCAGGGCGGCCTTTCGGATCTTTGTTATATATTTAACTCTTAAAAAAGCTGAAGATAGGCTTTATAATTTAAGATCTTCAGCTGAGACAACCTTAAATGTATATGCTATTAATGTTTAAAAAAAAAAATCTTATCAAATATTCAGACCAGTGATGTAATCTTGATTACTTAAGAGTAATTTTTTATAATTAAAGCTATTTTTCCAATATATAAATATATATATGATAATTATTAAGTCCCTTTGCTTTAAAAAAAAAAAAAGGGCACTGAAATGCTAAAGTAAAATTCAGTGACCCAATCTTTTAAAAACAATTGTATTGTAATTTTTGTTGCCTTGCCACTTTGAGTATCTCATTTGAAAATCTGTTCCTTAACATGTTTTTCTCCTGTAACATAAACTATGTGCCCTGTGAATTTCCGGGGACTGAATTTGAAATTGCTCCTGCGAACCGCTTGTGGCCTGGCGTGTAACTGAATGCCTGAATATCTCCCTGCTGAATGAATTTTGTATTCTGACCTGAATTCACTCGGGTTTATTGATTGGCTGGACCGTCTTGGTGCCGTTCCAGGAGAGTCATCGAAGGAAAAGATCCAGGAGTGTAGAGGATGATGAGGAGGGTCACCTGATCTGTCAGCGAGGAGACGTACTAAGTGCAAGATGTATATACATTTTTCAAAATTTATTAACTTTTCAGCTAGCATAAGTTCTTTTAGCATAAGATGTGAGGGGCTTTGAAAGTCTTTTCTTTCTGTCTTGACTTTTTAATGTTTGGGGGTGGGGATTGTTATTCTTTTTCTGTAGAACTTACTTAAATGTAGTTCTTTTTTATTTTTCCCTTTTTTACCCCCCAAAATAGTAAATTAATGAACCTACTAGAATGAGATCTCTGTAAAAATGTGCCTTGATGAGAGTTGTCCAGTAACATCTCTCAAACTAGATATTTACGATTTAAAGCAGCACAGTCTAGAATAATCTTCAGTGGTTTGTTTTATTTTTGTTTGGTCAGTTTGGTTTTTTTATAGCTGAGTAACTTCACCACTTCTGTCACTGAGAGTTCTTTTCCTTATAGATGAGATTGTTGCTATTTTGGGTCAAGGTGCTTTTGGAAAAGTAGTGGAATGCATTGATCACAAAGCGTAAGTCTTTTCAATGAAATACGTGTAATTTTTCTTGCACAGTCAGGGTGTGGTTTGTGAAGTGCTCTCTGATTGTATCAGGTTTTATCTTTACTTCCCCGTGTGCTGCTCTGTGTATTTCTTCAAGGCTGCTGCAGTTCCCAAACATGAATTGATGTTAGTACATCATGCTAAAAACCAGCACCTACCCATGGAGGCTGTTCGGGACTGGGGGATGGGGCGATGGGTGTGTCTTCTGCAGGTGCACCCCAGCCTCCTGAAGGGCTGGTGGGGGGAGGTGGCCTGGACAACGTGGGGTGAAGCTGCACCCCTGCACTGGGCAGTCCTGGGGCCTGTACCACCCCAGGTCCGTATAATGAGCAAAGTCTCTGACATCATATAACGTATCTTTGAAGTGTCATCTGTGATGATGCAATGCCATTTGGGGTCTAGTAGCATGTGTTACAAATCCAGAACGTATTTTGTGTATGATCGCAGTTTTGCTGTCTGCAAAACAGTGTGAAACTAGATCGTCTGTCTAGTCCCTGTAGAAGGCATTTGACACCTGTTACGTTTTTACTACTTAAGTGACTGAAGGCAGCTTGTCATTTTTGACCAGCAGTCGTGTTGGGCTGTGAGATATGGACATTCCTCCAATATTAGCCCAGCATACATAAATAAAAGGGGAGGTAAATGGGGCTTTTAACCTTTAAGAATAATATTGATAAGGTGTGGCGTATGTTTTCAAGATTTAAAGATTAACTTTTAGTTGGGTTTGTGTGTAAATGAACCTTGCTTATATTGAGTCAGTATGTACTAAAAAAGCAAAACAAACCTTTTTCTGATAAGGTTTCCATTGTTATAAATGGCATATATGATGATAATTACTGAATGTTCTTAGTTAAAACTGCTCGCTTGTCTCATCACTGTTAAAACCTGCCTTTCAGGGACGGCAGACATGTAGCTGTGAAAATAGTAAAAAATATTGCTACGTACTCTGAAGCAGCTCATGCAGAAGTACAAGTACTGAGACATATAAACGCATCGGATCCCAGCAGTACACAGTGAGCATACAAAGCTGACAGCACCTGCTGTCTATAACATACGATATTTGTATCTGAGCGTTATACAGCTTCCTGTTGCAATTCATGCATTCTCCTGCTTTTGCAGTTCCTGTGTCCAGATGTTAGAATGGTTCGAGTACCACGGCCACGTCTGCATCGTTTTTGAGCTACTGGGGCTCAGCACCTACGACTTCATTAAAGAGAATGGCTTTCTGCCATTTAGGCTGGACCAGCTTAGACACATGGCATATCAGATCTGCAAATCTGTGAACTGTAAGTCTGTGTCTTTTTTTTGGCTTTATTTGTTAAATTTTCTTCATGGAATTTGCTAACTATATTTCTTATCTTGCAGTTTTGCATTTGAACAAGTTGACACATACAGATCTGAAACCAGATAATATTTTATTTGTGACGTCTGACTATGTCGAAGAGTATAACCCCAAACTGGCAAGCTGCTGTCCTCTTCCCCACACCCCCTCAGCCATTGTCTGGGTTTATGATTTGGCCACTCGCATCCAACTGTGTTTCCTTTCAGAAATGTGAGGAACGCAGAGTAAAAAACCCAGACATCAAAGTTGTGGACTTTGGGAGTGCAACGTATGATGATGGATATCATAACCCTTTGGTGTCTACGAGATATTACAGAGCTCCTGAAGTTATCCTAGGTCAGTTAACAGTCTGTTAAGCTGATCTTTTGTGTAAGATTTTTTTGTATGCTATTGAACAGTGCTAGAGAAGTGTTGCAGGTGATGGTAGAACTGTTTGCAGTCTGGTATAAACATGAACCTTCTCAATCTTCTCGCAGCACTGGGATGGTCACAGCCATGTGATGTTTGGAGCATCGGATGTATTCTCATCGAATACTACCTTGGATTCATGGTGTTCCTGGTAGGTAACTGAACCGCAAAAGATGCAGCATGTACAATGCTCCCCAGCTTGGTGACAATATGCTGCAGAGAGGTGGGGACTAAGGGGAATGGTCTGTGCCAGAAATGAAGCTGCATTTTTCTGTAATGCCAAGTTGGAGAGAACGCAAGATGTAGGCACAGTGGGAGTTCCTCAGCAGATTTTTCTACAGGTTCCTTTCAGTAAAAATTTTGGCAGCAGCTCAATATGAAGGATCACCCTGTCACCATTTGCAGTTTACAACCCACACGAATAACAGATGTAGCTTCATCTGTCACCATCAGCAAAGACTACTCAAATACCTGAATTCTATTGTCTTCACAGTATTGCTGAAACTTTAGATTTATGATCAAAGGAAAAAAATAGGGCCGGGTCACCGTAAGGTCAGTAAACAGATGACAACAGCCTTAATCTGAAATTGATCCTTGGTTGCAGGGTACAGTAAAAAACAATGTAAGGTTAGTGTGTGGCTCTTGCTAATGTCCTCTTAACAGTGAACAAAAATGCTGTATCTTGATTTCCCTCCAGACCTGTAACAACAAAGAACACCTGGCAATGATGGAGCGAATCCTGGGGCCTTTGCCAAATCACATGATACAGAAAACCAGGTAATTACATATGGGCTGCTATAGTTTAATTTAAGTATTTTCAGGTTTGGTTTAACAGCAAATTTTAGAAAGTTTAATAAACTCGGATTCATCCTTGTGCTCTGCTTGACAAGCTGGCCACGCTTGTGGAATATTCCCAGCTCTGTTCCCAAGTTGTGAACAAACATGCTGATTAACTTGTAGTGAAGGGACAAACCAGAATCTTTGAATAACAAACTACGTCTGTTGAAGGAAACGCAAATATTTCTGTCGTGACCGGCTGGATTGGGATGAACACAGTGCTGCTGGCAGATACGTTTCGAGCCGCTGTAAGCCACTGAAGGTAAGATCACAGAAGGGAAAATGCTTTTGGAGAGAGGAGCTTTAAGTGCCATATAAGATTAAAAAAACATGTTTTGTTGTCTTCTTCACGAAGGAATTCATGACCTGCCACAATTCTGACCACGAGGACCTCTTTGACCTCATTCAAAAGATGCTGGAGTATGACCCAGACAAGCGCATTACTCTGGAAGAGGCACTGAAACATCCTTTCTTCTTCCCCTTGAAACGGGGAAAAAAGGGCACCGTCTCCTGTAACTGAGCAGGCTGACGACGATGTCAGTCCACCAAAGAAATATAAAAAATATTAAATATTTATTGTGCACAGTTATTTGTAAATGCCATATTTTGTATTACGACTTTTTGGATACTGAAGTTAATCCATTATGCCATGCTGGCATAAAACTTACTTATACTGATGAATGTGGTCGCGTTTCCTCACTAAAAAAAAAAACAAACCATATCTCAGGATGCTTGCACTGTTAACATCTGGAAAAGAGCACCCTCTGTAAGGTAGGCCTGACAGCAAGAAAGTACTTTCATTATCCTTTTTTCAGGTGTCATTGGAATAGCAAAAGACCTAGGGATGATTTTTTTACCCTTTAGTGACAGATCCTTTTTGGCTAAGAGAACAGAGACATCCCTTGACATTACATGCAAGGATGGCCTTTATTTGTTTAAAAAAAAGTTACAAAGTAAGGAAGATGGCTCTACTATTGAACAGATTAGATTGCATTGCGATCACAGATTTGGTGTTTTGGGTTTTTTTAATTATAATTATTATTTATTTTAGTAGGTGTATTCTGTTTACCAGTATTTCAGTTAATGCTGTTAACTTACGACAGTATAGACTTCACTCTTACCAGATCTTTGTTGAATTATGAGCTGTCCTGAGAATTTCTATTAAGAATTCGAAGTTCCGGGGAGCAGATAAACTGTTTGGTTTAACATGTCAAGTGCCAGCATAAAATAATCTCTAAATTTCGGGGGGGCAGGGGCAGCTCAAGTTTTCTCTGCCTTCCCTTCCAGCAGCTAGGCATTTGGCAGAGCAGCACAAGTAAGCTCCCCCCTGCCCCAGGCCTGCTTGCAGCATGAGCCGGGGCTCTCGAAAGCTGTTTGTACGGCCATGAGGGAAGAAGGAGCAAGAGACGCCTAGAAGTGGTACCTGGCAGCAAGGCAGCCTGGCAGCCCCCCCCCAGGAACCCAGACCACCAGCTGTGACAGCCAGCAGGCTCAGATGCCACTCATCATACCCCGCTGTGAGTGCCATTCACTGCCACCAGAACAGCTGCTCTCCTGTAGGACACATGTCCCAGGAGCAGGGCACTGCCTCACCCCGCAGCTGGGATAGGGGATTGCTTTATGCTGGAAGTATGGTAAAGAGAGACAAAGTCCTTGGGGAAACAACGACCTATGAAGGGATTATTTGGAGGAAGTGGTACAGATTGAAGTGTCACACCAAGTTACCACACAAGCCTAGGCCTCTTTGCTTTGGAGGCTTTTTACAGTTTAATTTGCAAACAGAACTGCCATAAATCTGATTTACCATATCATGTCTCCTCAAATATAGATAGAAAACCCAAGGGGTAAAATGGATTTCATTGTGGAAGGCCTTAAATTACATTATTACAGTAGAAAATACAGGAGGTAGAATATAACTGAAAGGACAAATGCAGGTTAGAATCAAATCTAGAATAGCTCCTGTAAGCTACGTAAAACATGGTTTTAAAAACTAAAGCCAGTATTGCAGTAACTATAGAAAACAGTTAAAATAAAATTGCCATGACAGCCCTTATATCATGCTTGATACAGGGAGGTAGGATGTAAGAATCAGGAGGACACATGAGACATGACCCCTATCTACAGCTCCTGTTTGCTTTACTGAGGACAGAGTTTCACAGGTCAGTCACCCTCTTCAGCTTCAGACTCCGACTCTGGAACAGAGAAAGACCTCATCAACAGTCTGCCAGCAGGTCACCCCCTCCAGCCCCCTGTCCTGCATCCTGCTGCTATTCAATCCACACAGATTTCACTGGCAAGCTTAGATAGCTCGTACTGGGGGGCACACCTGGTCTCAGAGGGGCAATTAACACCCCACCACCCCAAACAAAGCATTATTGCACTAAGGTTCCCAAAATGAACAAGCTCAACGTGTGAGATAAGTTCCTGCTTACCTTCTTCAGCATTCTTGAGCCATTCAACAAACTTTTTCATTTGCTCCAGAAAAACGCTCTTTCCTTTTGCAAGATGTGCATCTTTATACCACTTCAGGATGGGTTCTTCACTCAGAACTTCAGCTGTAAGATGTGCAAGAGCTGTGTTAACGCATCAAGCTGATGAATACAACAAGGTTTCTTATGTTTCTGTAGTGTGTCCACAGGTGCAAAAGCCTGTTTTTCAGGAACACCTTTTAACAGTCATTTAACAGATAGCCCAGAGCACCCCAGAACACCTTCATGGTCTCAATCTTCGGCTGTTCACAGCCAGTGTTCGGTCAGAGAACTAAGAATACACAATGATGTATCTTTCACTAACTTAAAAGGGCCAAAGAGCCTTAAAAACTAAATTCTCTTAAACTCTAGTAGACAGGCACCATTGTTGTTTGGAGGAGTATCTCCCCATGTGCCAAGGACAGCTGTGTCTGCCTTGGCATTTTACTGCTCCATCCAGTGAAGTGAAGGCTTCACTTCCAAAAGTGAAGGCAGGAAACTCTTCAGCTCATGAAGTGCAATGTTGTAGTACTGATCTTCTCTGAAGGGCTTACCAGGATCAGGACTGAAGCATTTTGCAAATACAGGCTTAAAAAAAACCCAACCAAACAGAAAACAACCCCACAGAAATTACCTTTATAGAAGAGCACCACTATTTTCTGGAAGGCCTTCATGAAGTGAATGTTGTCATAACAATACTCCTGAATCTTCAACAGAAGAGTCAGCTCAGACTGACCTTGGGTAGTAAAGGCAGCAAGTAGAGGGCTGTATTGCTGTAACAGGAAAAAACAAATAGCACACACAGAGCACTTCACATTTATCGCCTGACTAGATTGGTTTCAGTTTCCATCAGCCACTGCTTAGAAATCTGCAACCCCCGGCCCACCCCAGAGTGCTGCTGCATAAGTCACACTGCTTTGCCTCAGCAACTTGCACTTTAACACCACAGTTACAAGGGGAAGAATTCCTTGGCTAATGCTGTCTCTGCGTTGGGGGGTTGTAGGTTTTAAGTCATTTAAAAGGGAGCTGGAGAGGGAAGCCCAAGCCCTACCCAAAGGGTACAAAAGCCCACACGTAAGTTACAATACCTTCAAGTGCTTAATGGCTTGCTCTGCTACCAGCTCCTCCTTTTTGTTCCATTCCACTGTGCTCATTACACTTGACCAGATTATGGCTACCACAGTCTGTTCTGAGATGTTGTTTTTCTTCATCTCCTCCTTCACATAGAAGATTATCTGCCAGTTGGAGTAAAAGAGTCAGCACGCAGGCAACACGTGACGCACAACTGAACTAAAACTTCTGTTCCAAAGGCAACCTAGAAGCCTTCAGAACCACAAGCAACCCCCTTGATCACACAGCAGGATTCATGACATTAATGAAAGACTAAGGCAGCAATACCAACACATCCTGGTCCTAATTTTACTTCTTGGCCAAAGCTAGGTGTTTTAAGTTCAGTATTTAATTAGGCATATATCTTCATATTAGCATTAGATGCTATTGTATTTCAGAACAGTTGAGCTAAGTTCCTGCAGAAAAAAAGACAGAAAAAAGGAAAGCACCTACACCTTGTCTACAAATACTTACATCCTTGAACGGATCTCCCCGGGACATCTGCTCCTGAAGTTCTTTCTGCAGCTCTTTCCGAGCTCCTATGCTTTGCTGGTTCCGAACATACTCAGAAAGTTCTTTTAGTCCTGCTTCAGTGAAGTACTTGGAGAAGTGTTCAACACTTTGCTTGTTGGCTGGAAAGAGCTCCTGAGAACAGTATACAGCAAGTCTCTCACAAAACGAATGTGTGTTGACTACTCTGCCGGTAAATGCTATTTACTAAACTAGCTTAAGTAGTAAATGAGTAATTTCAGTGGTACCTACCATCAGCCTGTTATCCATGTTTACTTTACGAAGACTGACAGCAACTGCATTAATATCTTTCTCATTTATCCACGATTTGAACAGCTTGACTGCAAAAGCTGCAGAAACACCTGTGCAACATGAGTAGTAATATTATTGACATTCAAAAAAAAAGGAATCATACAGCACAAGAGTACAGAGCACCTCGTTTGTCAGAGCCCTGCTCAAAGCAGCAGCAGCGGTGCTCAGAGGCAGCCCTGACACAGGCTGCAGCACCTCTGCCCAAGGATACTGCAGCCTCCAGCATGTTGGACTTTTCTCACCACCTGGCATCATGAAGGCTTCCCTGTACTAAACTCAACTCTCCTTGCTGCAATTTAGAAAGGGACCCAAAGACATGACACACCTGCATCCTGGAAGGTCCCTCTCCAAATTACAGTACTGCCTTGCTGGGCAGCACTAGTGATGGTAGCCCCCGGCATCATGGAGGGAAGCTTTCTGAAAAGACTGGCTTAGCAAGACCTTCCAGGATCTTCCAGGTTGCGAGGCAGTGTGTTTACCTTTGCTAATCCTGTAGTAAATCTATCACCAGATGAAACTAGTGAGCTGCAAGTGTGCACCACAATGAAGTTTCCACCTACTTGTCATCGTTCTGTCCCCCACCATCCCTCCCTAAAAGAGGAGTTGGGCAACACTTACCTTCTTTAACCAAGTTCTCATTGTAGAGACTGTTGAGAATTGACGCATTAAGTGTCCCATTAGCTAGCAGAATACCCGTCAACATGGCCAGTTTGTTCCGCTCAGACTCTGAGAATCCCTTCAGGAACAGCAGCAACTGCAAAAGGAAGTAAGACAGGTTGCCATAAAACTACCATCTCTCCTTAAAGTTTGGCTACTGCTTCCATGTTAGGCACTTCTGTTTCAATCAAGCTATTCAACTAGCAGAAGTACTAGTTCACCGGTAGTCTTCTGCACTAGTCATCCCAACTAGCTGTTCTTCTGTTAACAACTTAAGTGTTCTATTTTAATAATCCATTGTATAACTCTTCTGTATAGAGTGACTAACTAGCAGAATTTGAAGGTTTATTTATAGTCTGCTACTAATGACCTATCCATACCTTTTTGACTTCATCTTCAAAGCCTTTCTCCAGGTACTTGTAACGCCTGATTAGCTTGTTAAAAACCTAAAAAGATATAGAGTGTATTATTTTTTGCTCTGAACTATCATTTAATCAGAATTTTTTAAAAAGTCAAGTTCAGTCAAGCTGGTCTAAACTCTTCAGAGCACTTTTAGCTTAGAACAGTGCTACTCCACCTCTGCTAGTAAGTTTCGTAAAGCCATGCATTATTTTTACCTAAACTTTCAACTACAGAAACATTTAAACCATTTAGTGGTCAAAAATGAAGTTAAATTGTACTCATTTCAGAACTAACCTGAGCAAATGCTTGCATGGTTTCTAGGTCTTCCTGTGCTGCAAATACACATACATTTGTGCGTGTCATGTCATCTGCCAGGGTACCACCTGGGGCTAAAGAAGGGTTTCAGCATTAGTAGTATTACTCCCCAGTGAGAGTACCAAGTAGTCTCCACAATCAGAATTCCAATACCCATAACATGCAACGTGTTGCCCTTTCATGATGAACTGAATGCCTGGATCACTGAAGACACTCCTACATTTCCATCTGCTCCACCGCTGTAGTAGAACTTTAAAATCATTACCTTAGACATGAACACTTAAATATTCTAACCCCCTGCAGCTAACTGGATTGGCAACATATTTTGTTTACATATGGATAAATTAACATGACCATATGAGCTCCTCTTCCCTGAAAGGAACCCACTAAAGCTGCTTAATCCTAGCAAGTGTATTTTTAATGTCTACTGCAATAGCACTGCTTTATAAGTAACTGTCTTCTAAATAACAGAGAAGTCACAACAGGAGATGAAACACAGAGATGTATGTTCAAAATTCAGTGCCCCAGAGATGAGCTTGAAATTTTAGTCTTGAAAGGCACTTCAGTTTTTTAGCAGCTAATTAGAAGACGCTTCTTCACCATTCCTCTTCAGTTTCATACAAGCAGCATTTGACTGGCAGCCAGGCTGCTGCAGTAACTAGGGTGAATTCAAGCCACCAGCTCCAGTGCCAGAACACCTCATCACTGATTTCTGTGCCATCTTAGATTAAGGGAGATCTCTTTGTTATGTATTAGTCAGAAACATTACTTAAAGATGGAGAAAAGTATTAGTGTTGAAAATACTAAAAGGTGGTAAGGCAACAGGATACCAGTTTTTATCTTGGCCTTGTCTGACCAGAGATCAAAGCTAGTCTACTCAGCCACTTGTTACAGAGGGAGCTGAGTAAAGGAGCCCTGTCACCATTAACGCAGCAATGCATTTTTCCCTTCCCCCTCAGCCTCATTCCTAGAAGGAACACTTCCCAGCACAGTATGCACTGGTTAAGACTCTTAAATGTAAACCCACGGACTGGAACAATTTGTACATTAACGATTTCAAGCAGCGATGCTCCACATGGCAGACAACTTTACTTACTTGTGCTACCAGCTCTTCTAACAGCAGCGAAAGAGCCTCTTGCCAAAAGGAACATCACAGCAACTGCAGTCTACCCCACTGTTCCAATACACAGCTTTGAGATAAGCAGGCACACTGCATCAAGTTAAACCACTTCAAAAGCCTTGCTTTTCAGCATCTCTCTGAGCAAGTCCCCCAACATTTCTACAGTGTGAAGACCACCTCAACATGCAACAGATGCCATCTTCCCAAACCAGCCACCCCACTGCAGAACTGCCATCTGCAGTCTGACTGTGGCCCAGGATCAGGTATCTCCTCTCCTGCCCCTATGCATTTAGGTCATTTGAATTCTATTTCTGTTATACTAGACAAAATCTTCTGCAACTGGCAAATTTCTCATGTTAAGTCCTCCCCCCCAACTATTGCATAACAAATACTAACATCTGAGGCAGATCTTTTCCAGTCTGTATTTTAAATGGGTCCCTGCCATCTGAATCCCTTCTCATTAAACAGTATGTATTCAAGTTGGAAATGTAAAATCTAAATCTAGAAGGTTTTTTTTTTTACTACTTTCAACCTCATTTAGCTTCATTTACTTCTTACGTGGTTGGTGAGCATCTGTTCCACTCTGCTCTTTACACACAGTGTACACGAGTTTACAGGACTTTTCATCATCACGTTTCACCTCCTCAGTTAGCTATGTTTTCTGCTGACTCGACCACCCTCTCATTTCTCCCTCCCTGACATCTGCTAGAGCCCATGATCTCACTATTGCCAACAAGAAATGATTCATAATAGCATTTCCAAACCCAGCACATCAAATTCTTCCATAAACAATATTACTTTCCAAAAAAACCAGGGTGGGGTGCACAAAGCACAGGATCATATCAAAACCTTTCAGGGCAACTCTGCTGGCCTTGTGACCACAGCCACACACCTGAAACAAGTATTCATCCATCTCACATCAGCAGAAGGGAACCTGACTACAGAGTACAAATCCACTCCTGATAAAAAAAAAAAATCCAATATATTTTCCTTTAAGTAAAATTTGTACAGCCTACGCTTTGAAGAATGCAAACTGACTCACGCAAAAGTGCGGTAGGGTATACAGGTTGCTCAGTCAGTCACTAAGATGGTCACACAGTTTACCACAGAAAACTTAAAGCCTGTTGTACGCGCTTAATGAGCTCTTCAGCAGAGTTTTTACACTGAAAGAAAACTGAGCTTTTGCAGAGTCAAGTGAACAAAGGTTGAAAGCAGCCCCATCAAAGGGACTCACCCAGCATTCCACCAGCCACCAGGATGTCAAAAAGCGTTTCTGCATAGCGGCGATAGTCAAGTTTTGCACCAGAAGCATCAAGAAACTTTGCTACTGCCTCCAAGTCAGTGCCAGTTTCACTTAAACCTTGAATAATACAGTCCTGGAACTGAGTAGGGTCAAACCTCTCTTTTTCATCTGTAAAGACAAAAGTGTTGAAATAAAGTTGTCACACACAGCTGTTTTGTTTTTCAAGTCCGTCATTTTAATCTTATTAAAAAAATAAACCAGACAAACAAAACTTGCACTGGCAAGCCTGAAGTTAACCCGAATATATATCATTCCACTCTTGCCAGACAACTGGTATTAACTAGCACAAATAGTGACTTAGCAGTTTAGCCTAAAATGAATTTCAATGGCCAATACAGCAGTAAGAAGTTTTGCTGCTTTCACTCTCCTATTCAGTCAAGGCTATCAAAAGATAAAACATTCCTTACTTACCTCTAATTGAATTCTCACAGTACTCTCACTAAGAACAGTTTTTGTGATGATCATTAGTTGGCTCTAACAAACCTTATCTGACTTCTCAGTTTTATTCTTATACCCCTGCTCACATGTTAGACTGCTCTTTCACTCCAAAAAGAGAGGCTTAGCTACATGGCTGCAAGACAATTCTTCTTATGTGCCCCTACAATTTTATACCTTTGACTCCATTACTCCTGTTCCATTTCAGCCCTCTGGGCCTCTTGCTGTTTTGGACAAAATATTCTGACTGAAAAGTTGCATATTATTATCATGTTAGAGCCAACAGACAGGACTGGCTTCTTGGCTGTGAAGACCATCCCCTCTTCTTAATATGGAGTTAAATGAGTCTGAAGGAATTGCTTTTCCTCAAGTGTCTCGGGGAAATGTAGAAATCTGAACTAACTTCTTTATCTTAAATAAACCTTAAACAACGGATCTGACTGCAGATCTATTTAGCATCCTTTGTTGCTGTTAAAGCAGAACCATGCTTCTTCACATTTGAGCTACAGCAGTTGATCATAGCCTTGCTTTCACCATGGGTAGGGCATAGTTAATATGCAACAAACCCACCCATTTAACTAACAGAAAGCCTTAAATGGAAGAGGTTTTCAGCTTTACTCGTCTCAATTTGTCCTTAGCTTATGCAAACGATGAGGGGAAGAGCTTCCAAAGAAGCAGAACTCAGCTGCAAATCTTACTTTGAGTGCTGAGTGTTATAACAATTTTGTTAGCATCTGTTATCAACCCTTCTGTACGTGGCACACAAGTGTCCTTACACACAATACAAGTATAAACACGTTGGTAACAGCTGGGTGGAAGTCTGGAAATACTGGATCAGTTGTCTTCCAGGACAGATCCATGAGTTGACTGGAATCCAAAGTATGGTTAAATGCTTAAAAGGAGACAAAACGCCAGAATGCTACCATTTCATCTGCTGGACAGGCTAAATACAACCTTCTCACTTCAAGAGTTTCTCAAGGTACTTTAACGTTAAAATAGGTTCTGTGACTCAGTATGTACTTCTGTACAACTTAAGTACTATTTCAGTATGTACAGCATCCTTAGCGTTGTCAGTTTGAGCTGGAACACTGCTAGCATATTAATATAACACCTATTAAACAGAAACTCCAAAAGCTGTCCCCACTTTCTCTTTAAGAAAACGCCACCAAAATACTAAATTACTCATCATACCTCTCCAGCTATCAACTCTTCTTATGGGAGCAACTGTGCGCATACAGAGATACAAACCGGCACATCCCACGCTTTGGGGGGGTTTTGTTTGTTTGGGGGGAGAGGTTCTGGTGGTGGTGTTTTGTTTCATTTTTAATTTAAATCAGGTATTCTTACAGCATTACAGGAACAACACAGCTTTTATCCAGTGGCTAACACTGGAACTCCTACTAGGACAGGTGCTCCTCAGATGTGCGCAGGAACCCGCAGCGCGCCCGTGCTGGAATTCCCCCGTAACCCGGGTACGAGGTACTTACACTTACAGGCCAAACACGCTCGGTACAGCTCTGCAACAACGTTTCTTAAGCCAAGGTTATCACAGTCAATTCGGCTACAATTCCTACTGACAACTATTTTTTTATTAGTGCAGACAACGTCCTAACACACAGAGTTCGCATCAGGACTCCGTACTCAGCGTGGTCTCATCCCGCCTTAGGAGAAGAGCACGCAGGCCTCCGTTTGCTCACTGACAGGAACCGGGGCTCTCGGCACAGGCCCACGCACCCGGCCCCGGCAGCCCCCGCCGCCGCTCGCTTACCTCTCTTTCTGGTTTTAAAACGCTGGCCTGATAGCGTCGGCTTCTGCGGCTTTTGATTATTCATAAAAGACACCCTGCAAGG